AACTCTTGACAAATAGTCATGCCCCATTTAAATCCCCTGTGAATCACGCACGAAGGCCAATAGATGCGACGAAGTTGGCCAATAAGGCGCTGAGATATTAACCTGTACTCTCATGCAACAAGGAAATGCAAACTCTTTCTCTGATCCCGGCACACATAGATATCTCATCCGCCATCATGGACACTCGCTGACAAACGCTTTTATAGACGCCCGTCTTTCCGTTGCATTAGAAAAACACGAATGCACAAATAGAGAGAATATTCCATTCAAGTAAATCTGGATTTCTTTGGCCAAATGTGTCAAATACACACACGCGCGCACACACACACACAGATAGATAGATAGATAGATAGATAGATAGATAGATAGATAGATAGATAGATATGAACAGAATGAGATAGATAGATAGATAGATAGATAGATAGATAGATAGATAGATAGATAATGAACAGGCTGTGATAGATAGATAGTTAGATAATGAAAAGGCTGTGATAGATAGATAGATAGATAGATAGATAGATATGAACAGATATATATAATAGAATGAGATATGAGATTTTTTCTTAGATAGAATAGATAGATAGATATGAAACAGAATTTTATAGATTTATTAAGATTGATATATATCTGGATACAATTACAGATATATAGATGCATATGAACAGAATAATTTAGATAGATAGATAGATTAGAATAGATAGATAGATAGATAAATTTCATAATAGATAGATTAAAATAATTTTTCTTTATAATTTCGGCAAGCCGACGCAAAAATGTCCGATGTCGACTTTCTCAAATTAAAAACCGAAATGAATATATTAAAAATTAAACTCATATTTAAAAAATGTCCTTATAATGATCAGTTTAAAACGCTATTTTCATACTGTTAATTGAATTGTCGTTATAACTGACGTAATTTTCAGTTAACAGTATGAGAATAGATTTTATCTAAATTCTCCAAAAATTGAGAAAGGACATTTTTGTTTTGTTATTATTATCTTAAATTTGTTTTAATAAAACCATTTATTTTTTGATTGAAAAAAATTCACATTGGACGAAACCCGTCGGGATATTTAGATTTTCCTATTGTCTTTACATTTATAAATATTGTCTTTTTCTACAGGTTCATCTGAAGAATTTTTCATTGTTAGATAGATATGAACAGAATGAGATAGATAGATAGATAGATAGATAATATAGAATAATTTAGATAGATTTGAAATTTTAGTGTTAGATAGAAAGAAGATAGATAGATAGATAGATAGATAGAAATATAGATGATTATATATAAATTATATTTATATATAAATTTGCTTCCAACGTCTTACATTTAACTATTCTCGGCAGATCTTCTGTTATCGTATTATGGAATACTTAATTAAAAAAAATGCTAAAATAAATTAAAAACATAGGGAAACTGAATGAGATCAGCTCGACTGCATCTCCAGACATGTCTGTAGAAAAAAAAATCAGCGTTTCCTTCGGGTACGTAACTGCAACCAACGGTCGCCCCTATGCATTTATTATTTCTGATTTGTCCTCATCCTATCATTCTGTCGAGTTCCTGTCCGTATTTGGTCTATATTTGATCTCAGTTCACACACACACACACACACATACATATATATATATATATATATATATATATATATATATATATGTTTATGTAGGATAGGTATTTGTGTGTATTTAGGCAGCAATCCTTCTTTCATGCACATTTCATTGAATACGACAGACAAAATGATTTTATTTAGGTTTTTATACAATTTCTCATGCGATCTAATAATTTTTTTTTTATTTTCGGATGATAAATTATATAAAAACTCTCCGAATGTTCTTTTTATCCGAGCGCTTTCGGCTTTACATTTAGCCATTTTGAAGTATTAAATATTTTATTTGTTAAATAAGAAATAGTTTGTTGCGTGTATGTATTTATATAGTGTTTTTATTTTTTCAAAACGCGGTCAAGATATTGTGTCCATGTTCAAAGTTAATATTATTAAGTGTTGATTTGTTTGTTTTTATTAATAAGGCTTCCATTATTTTTATCCTTTTTTTTGTATGTAGATGATGCTATTATATTTGTGTTGTCAACAAGTATGTTACGAATAGTGTCCGGTAGGTCTCCATGAATATTTAAATGAGATCTAATTGAGCCATGATCAGAAAGGTGTAGAGTGAGTCTGCGTGTCAAACATGTTGTAGTGTGGCCTATATAATTATTTACGAATTTTGATTGATCAGGAATACAATTCCTTAATGGGCATATATATATATATATATATATATATATATATATATATATATATATATATAGTAATTAATATACAATAAAATCAAAATTATTTCATATGGGGAATAGGCTTATTTCAACCGACGAAAACATCATTATTATTCAACCCCTGTATAGACTGAGTTTGTGAGGATCCACGTGGATTATATACCAACGGATGTATTACTTGGTACTTGGTGTTACTCACTTACGCTATTAATCCATAGGGCACTGGCTCCTGGACACGGAGCATTTTTAAAAAATAAAAATAGCTGTAAAATGTTAGAAAATTGTTTTTGAAAATGCGGCGCATCATTTCAAATTTACCAAAATCTTTATGTCTACATTTTCTTTTATAGATTGATTTACTTGCATTCTCAACAAGGATTTTAGCTAACTTATTATTTTTGTTCAAACAAGAGCTCTAATATCTGATTGCTATTACATACATACATACATACATGCATACATACATACATACATATATATATATATATATATATATATTGAACAATAAAAAAATAAAAAAATTAAAATCTTCAGACACACTGGGTTGTAGATTAATATTCTTTCGTTTTTTATTATTATTTCATTTAGATTTATCGACTAGTTTTTTAAAATGGCTGGCCATCATCGGGAGGAAAAATATTTGGTAATAGTAAACTAAAAATAATGAATCTTTGCTAAAGAAATTGGAAAAATGAACTTTTGTCTGTAGTTTTATTTTTTTTTTTTTTTTTTTTTTTTTTTAACATGAATCTTTTTTACAATCCTTGTGTTGGTCAAACAGTCTCTTTTAAGTTGTTATTTGAGATAAGAGTTGGATGGATCTATGCTTCTCTAATTCCCGTGGTCATTTTGACAGTTTTATTGGTTCCTGGAGAGGGATGTGTCTCTGTTTAGTTTTTGTGTGTGTTATTTTTTTCTTTTTATTTTATATGAGTATGATATGTAAAAATGTGTATTGCTGTGGGTGTGTTTTATCATTTGGCTCATTAGGGAGTTTTCTTTTTAGTATGATGTGTGTAAGTATATATATTCGTGTGGGTGTGTATATATATGTGAATTTTCCACACCTCCGTAATAATGTCTTTCTTGTGTGGGTGAGAAATGTGGGTAAAATTTTGATTTGTTGAGTTATATATTAGTACTATCTATATTGTTAAATTTATGGTTTAGTCCGGCTGGATTTCATTTTTAGACGTTCTATCCACTTATTTTCATGTGACTTTTCTAAAATCTTTCTAATGTTATCTGAACTTTAGAAAATCTTTTTATATATATATATATATATATATATATATATATATATATATATTTTTTTTTTTTTTACACGAAAGTTGATAAGACAGACGACCAATGTCTTTTTTGGCGAGAAGATCGACATTGGACACCCTATCGTCAAGAGTATAACCACATATGGCACGGATATAACTTTTGAGGAAGACATCCAGCTGGTAGATAAGGGGGCCTATATGGGGTCGACAATTCTGAGACGTAAAACAGTGTTGTCAAAACGGCTGCTTTATAACCTCGTATTTTGCAGTCCAATTTGATACCTCTCTCCTTTCATAGGCAGTGACGAAGCTTCCAAAATGTATTTGTATCTTTACAGCTTGTTATTTCGTCACCAAGAGATGCATTTGCATTCATCTTGCCTCCTAAATATATGTAAATGACTTCACATACTTCAAGTTCTTCCTAAATCTGTATAAATTTATGTCTGGGGAGTGACCAACTGGTGGAGGTGGTCTGACACCCCGAAGCTGCTTTGGTCCATGAGCCGGTTAGAGAATTACCTCCGTTTTTATAAATGCCCATGGTAAAACCAAAAGCTTTGTATGCAACAGAGAAGCGGTTGACAAGTTCTTGTATTTCCTCTATATAATGTTCCCAAAATTTTAATACACAAAATATATACCAAAATATGACCAAAATATAATCAAAAAATATCAGTGTTTTCTGTCTTTGTTTATTTGTTTTCTTTCAATCTCAGAGGAAGCTTTAATAAAAGTGAAACATGTTAGATACGTTTCCCATGTGTTCTTTTATTATTATTTGATCAGCATTTGATGTTTAACACATACATATATATATATATATATAGAGAGAGACATTTTCATGTTTTTATAGATACAAATATTTAAGTAAATACGCTCTCTATAATAAACAGTATTAACAACATTTACCTAGAAATTGTCATAGAAAATATGCGTCCTCCGACAGGAATCGAACCTGTATCCTATACGGAACTGTCATATAGCCTGACGTGCTTCTACCGATTTCGTCACAAAATTGTCAATTTCATAATGTGTGACGAGCAGATATGAATGTACGTGAGAAAATCATGGAAAATTGTAGTTTAAAAATAGTAAAATCGACTTTGTTAACCGAACGTTCGTCTGTGGCGAAATCAGTAAAAGCACGTCAGTATTAACAACATTTCCCGGCCTGAATGTCCGAGAAATGTTGCTTAATACTGTTTATTCTAAACAGAGCATTTAATTAAATATTTGTATCTATAAAAAAAAGAATGTATAAACATAAAAAAACAAAAATTTATATATTTTTATACTTGAAAAAATTGTTTAAATATAACTTGAAGAGACAGACATTTTGTTGAAATATTGTTTAACATCGACAAACATTGGGTTTTTTCTTTTACTTATCTTTTCTTCAAATCGTGTATTTCTCTGAACTGTTGAAAAATACTGGAAGAGTTACATCA